GAGGCTGCCCAGGGAAGTGGTTGAGTCACCATCCCTGGAGGTATTTAAAAGACATGTAGATGAGGCTCTTAGGGACATGGTTTAGTGGGCCTGGTGGTGTTGGGTTGACGGTTAGACTCGATGATCTTAGAGGTCTTTTCCAACCTTAATGGTTCTATGATTCTATGCATTGTCAATAAGGCCACTGTGCTGGTGAAACTATCTATGAAACCAATCAGAAGAGAAGTTCATTTCACCCACAATACCATGAACTGACTAAGCAGCGAGTGAGTGCAAGGCAGTGCATGTTCTATACTTTAAATTCTAGCACTTGGACTGGATTTTGCAAGTAGTAATAATTGATTCTATCAACTTTTTGCTAATTTCCTTCTTAAAACACTTGTCAGTCATGCTGGGCAACGAGTCAACGAAAAAAGGGCAGGCCTTTGGTTTTTGTCTTAATTGCTAGGACTCTTGTTAGCAGATGCTCTAACCCAACATGAAGAGGTATTGCATCTAATGCAGATATATACCTGCAAGAAACTACAAATGGCTCCTTCCTGATACAAAAGGGAGTCCGATCTCTTCCAGGGACCAAGAGAAAAAGCACAGAAATTCCTGATCTACATAGAGGGTGCATATACTCTTCAATATGATGTTTCCATTAACCAATACAAGAATTCCAAAGACACAGAAAGGAGCTTTTCAGAAAAGTACTGGGGGGTATGGGGGAGTGTTCCTGGTGGTCACATTGAACATCACTCAGCAATGTGCTCTTGCGGCAATGAAACCCAACCACATGCTGAGCTGTACTAGCAAGAACGTATCCAGCAGGTTGAGGGAAGTGATTATTTCCCACTGTTTGACATCTGAGAGACCACATCTGGAATGCTGTGCCCAGTTTGGGGCTTCCCAGCATGGGAGACAGATGGACAAACTCAAGCAAGGCCAGTGGAAGGACCATCAAGGTGGTCAGGGTCTGTAGCTCATAATGTACAGGAGGGGCTGAGCAGAGCTGGGTTTGTCCAGCCTGGACAAAGGGAGGCTGAGACCTCTGACTGCTGTCCTCAGCTATCTCATTCTGGTTTTAAAGAAGGCAGAGAGGACACAATTTGCAGGAATGAAACTTATGATTACCTATAAGGAAAAAAAAAGTCAGAGTGAGGGTGGTTCAGAACCAGAACAAGTTGCCCAGTCAGGCTGTGAAATCTCTGTCCCTGAAGATTTCAGAACTTGGCTGGGAAAGGCCCTGG